AAATTGTTATTAACATCTATAAAATAATTTTGTAAGCTGCAGGCAGACAGTGCTACGGCAACCGCCACCCTCAGCAAACTCCCTCACTCCAAACAAAAAAGCGGCCTAATCAAGCCCCTAGACAGCGACGCTAGTTCTGCCTCCACAAGAGGCCAGGAACACGACGCAACTAGGGACAAGAACAGGCCACGATCTCACACCTCTTCCGAGGTAACGCCACGGAAGGGAAAAAACCCAAACAGGACCACAAAGTTATGTCTGGGATAAGCTACGAGCCACCTGAAAGTAGCTATAATATAGGCAATGATAACCCTTACGGTAAGATAACCACCGAAAGAGAAATCCTTGTCAAAAAGACATTGATGGGAGAGCTGAACAAAACAATTTTGTCCGCCTCCTGCAGCAAAAGCAAGCCACCCACCTTCAGGTCTTGGACGCACTCTGGTGAAATCATCAGAGTAACGTGCGACGATGACCTGACGTTGGAATGGCTAAAAACCAAGATACCAACCCTAAAAACATGGGAAGGAGCAACACTCGCTGTTGTGAGGATGGACGAGCTCCCCAAGCTCACCAAAGCCTCTCTCTGGATCCCAGGGGAAGCGCAAGCTGACCTTGACGAGAAGGAAGTAGTGCTCAGGCGACTTGAGGGGCAAAACCCAAACTTGCATGTGGCGAAATGGTGCTCCTTCCACCATGAAATCAAAAAAGACCCTAAGGGCCATCTCTTCGTCTTCGGCATCGGAGATGAAGACATGGGAACCCTAAAGGCCAAATCAATGAGGATGAGCTATGCGAAAAAGAGGCTGAAGCGGGGCCCAGTGAAGACTCTTTGGTAAAGTCTCTTCCCCCCCAATTTACGCCAACGGTGGAGGACGTCGAGCCAGAAAAATGGTAATCGATGACCTCCAGCAAGAAAACTCCGAGGTGCCACAAGAGACCACCCCCTCTCCACTTTCGGAGGAAGGGATGGTCGAATAATTAACCACTTTGCTGCCCAATTTTCAACGGAGGACCGGGAAGCAATAAAAGAGGTAAAGTTCATACAATGTAACTTGCAGCACAAAAGGGTAGCTACGGCAACTTTATGCCGCCGCCTTGATGAGCTGCAAGATACAATAGCACTCATCCAGAAACCCTGGATAATAAAAACCAAAATTTTAGGTCTTAAAAATCTAAATGGTTCAATTTTTAGCTTCCCCAGCAACCAACAACCTAGGACAGCCATTTACATTCCTAGGAAATACAAAGCCCACTCAATGGCACACCTTTCCACCTCCGATTTAACTGCGGTTAGGATGCAATACGCCATCAAAAGGGAAAAGAAAACGTTAATCCTAGCATCTGCATACCTCCCTTCCGATGCAACCACGCCACCACCCAGCAAAGAAATGGAGGATCTGATTGCATACTGCCTGGAACAGAAGTTTGAGCTGGTAATAGGTTGCGACTCAAATGCTCATCACTTCAGTTGGGGCAGTAAGGATAATAACGCTAGAGGTAACTCACTTTATGATTATATAATTACCAAAAATCTTTCAATTTTAAATAAATTCTAAACTGGCAAGTGTCTGATAACATTTCGATGTCAGACCACCGCTGGTTAACATTCAAAATAAACTTTATGTTGCCGACCTCCACGCTATCTCGGAACCCTAGGCAGACGGACAGGGCAATCTATGCCCACCTTCTCCAAGAGGCTATGAGAGAGATGGAGGCCGAAACACCAAACAATAACAATGCTTTGGAGAAGTACTCAAACACTATCCAAAGCACAATAAACAATGCCTATAAGAAATCCTGTCCCCTGAAGCTGGTCCAACACGATCAGACGACTATCATATGGTGGTGTCACGAGTTGGATCACCTCAGGAAAATGGCTAGGAAATCCTTTAATAAGGCAAGAACCACAAAACTCAAAGAGGACTGGGATACTTACAAATCTCACCTCAGAAAATACAAAAAAATCGTCAGACAAAAACAGAGATGCATGGAGATCCTACTGCGAAGAAATCGAAGATTTCCCGCAGGCAGCGAGGCTTCAAAAAGCTCTCTCAAAAGATCCACACCGAAGCATTGGTGCGCTAATCAAAGAGGATGGCACGAAAACTGCCAACCTCGAAGATAGCATCAAACTTCTGCTGTCAACACACTTCCCTGACTCGGTCATCACAGACGTGGCCGACTGGGCAGAGAAAGAATACAATCCATCTGTCTATGATTGGCAAACTGCCAAACACATTGTAGACAATGAAAAAATTAGATGGGCAATATCCAGCTTCTCTCCATTTAAATCGCCAGGACCTGACGGTATCTATCCAGCCCTACTTCAGTGGGGTCTGGAAGAACTCACACCGCACCTGGTGGGTATATTCAGATCCTCGTTGGCTCTGAGGTATATCCCCAAAAAATGGAGAGAGGTAAAAGTGGTATTTATACCCAAACCTGGAAGGATGGACTACACTGTCCCAAAAACATACCGACCAATTAGTCTGACATCGTTTTCCATGAAGACATTGGAAATACTATGCGAAAGGTACATAAGGGATGCGGTGATTACAACAACACCACTACACCCAAACCAACATGCATACACCCCAGGCAGATCTACTGATTCAGCCCTTCATCTAGTTGCTGGCCGGATAGAAAGATGCCTGCACAATAAGGAGTCCGCCTTGGGTGTTTTCATAGACATAGAAGGTGCTTTTGATAAAACCACCTTCCCAAAGATAATACACTCACTAACCAACAGGAATGTTCCACAAATGGTTAGTTAGTGGGTGGAAACATAACATGCTCTCAAAGCGAGCAGAAACACAAGTGTAGAAGATGTTAATATAAGAGGATTGGTTGCGAGGGAATGTCCACAGGGAGGGGTGCTTTCACCTCTACTATGGAATATGGTCCTCGACACCCTCATCAGCCGCCTCAATAATGACAGTCACTACACAATCGCATATGCAGATCTGCAAACAGGGAATTTTGAGAACATACTCTGCGAAAGAATGCAAGTAGCTCTAAAAATTATAGAACAGTGGTGCGAGGACCATTTACTGTCTATCAATCCTAAGAAGACAGAAATGGTCCTTTTTACAAGGAAAAGGATGAAAATGGAATTAAAACCTCCAGAACTCCTAAACACAAAACTAAACTTTGCGACAGAGGTGAAGTACCTAGGTCTCACCTTTGACAGCAAGTTAACATGGAACTCGCATTTAGAAAACAGTTAAAAGAGCATACATTGCTTATTAACAATGCCGTCGTACTGTGGGACGCACCTGGGGTTTCTCCCCCAGAGTCGTCGCATGGACTTACACGGCTATCATAAGACCTATGCTAACATACAGTGCAGTTGTTTGGGTACCGAAAACCCAAAAATTAACAGCTATCCGTAAACTAGAACAAATTAGCATGTCTCAACATAACAGGAGCCATGAAAACAACACCGACTAGAGCGATGGAAGTCATTCTTAGTCTCACTCCCTTTGATATTTACATCAAGGAGGTTGCTCTGACGACAATGACACGCCTCCGCACGGTCGAAATAGAACCTAATGTAGGATCTGGTTAGGCGAGACGTCACTTTTGGCAGGAGGCGCTCGATACGCTCCCACTGCTTCAAGCGAACATGGACTCCATCTCACCGATATATATCTTCCATAAGCCATATAAAGTTATAATAGAACAAATAGAAGAGCCAGAAGTGGCAGGTACGATTCATATCTACACCGACGGTTCTAAAACAAAACAAGGCTCAGGATGCGGAATATACTCCAGATTCTTAAACCTAAACATAAAATGGGATGTGAGCAATAGTGCCAGTGTAGTTCAAACAGAGCTAACGGGGATTCTCATAGCAGCAAATGAAATAACCAGAAATAATATCACTGGAAGGAACATGCTTATCTATACAGATAGCACAAGCACTACTCACCCTGAACAGACCACGAATTTATTCAGGGTTAGTACTAGAATGTCATGAAGCTTTGGCCGAAGTATCCATCAACAATGTGGTCACCTTAAGATGGATCAAAGGTCACGCCACATCGAAAGGTAACCGTCTTGCCCATTCACTAGCCAAGAAAGCAGCCAAACAAATACTTTTTGGACCTGGCCCTTCTATTGGCCTGACAAAATCGGTAGTGACAGACCTAATTAAAGAACATTCCCTTGTGAAATTCAAGGAAAGATGGGATGAAACAAGTAAGTGCAGAGTTGCCAGGGAGCTCTTAAGTTATCCTGACAACACTGCAGCAAACAAATACTTGACTATGACTAGACAGAATCTGCGTCTGGTCACAGGCATTCTGACTGGTCATTGCCAAGTACGGGAGCATCTCCATATCATGGGGCTGTCAGAATCCGCACTCTGCAGAGGGTGCGAACAAGAAGATGAGACCATCGAGCATATCCTTTACGATTGCCCGACGCTCTCATTCATTAGAAGATTTGTGTTCGGCGAGTATCGGCTAACACCGGCCGATATAAGAGAATCACTTCTTGGCGACGTTGTCAACTACATTAAATCGGCGGGCTGACGAGCTAGGAGGTGCCTATCATCTTAGGAGGGTGCACAATGGGCCTAATGAGGCCTAAGTGCCGTGGGGGTAACCCACCCTCCACACGTTACAGATACAGATTGTATGCCAATGTATCGCGTCACTTCGGTTAGATCCGCCGCAAACCTGTTAATTAATGAGTATAAAGTGGAAGAACTGGCAAAAGCCTTTCTAACTTCTGTCCCTGCTACACAAATATATTTATTTTCAAGCAAAAGATGGGTTACCACTTGTAATATCTGTGAAAGAGAACGACTCGTAAATTCAAATAGGGAGTTTATCAACCATTGAAGTAATAATTAATGTTACTTTTAGCCAGCTGATTTTATCAATTTAGTCACGTGGGATAGTTTTGTTGAAGACTCTGTATTTCACACCTATGTCAATGAGATTTTTTATATAAATAATAAACCATTTTTGATAGATATAATAAATACATACCTTTACGTTTAATAAATCCCACTGACCATTATTATCGATTTGATATTTGTGAATAACCCTGGCACCGACTTCATCCAAATGATTAATCGCAGATTCGCCAATAACTCTTCCACCATAAAACAAATTCGAAGAAGCTTTCCCTCTAATTTGGAACTTGGCAATTTTTTGCAAAATCGCCACGACAGTTTGCGAAGTTTTCTTGGATAGTTCCGTTGAAGTGGAATTCACAAAGGAGCTCAAAAGAATTTGTTGATCTTTACTGTCTTTAGAAATTTCAAATCGTAGTTTAAGATTAACTTTTGCATCTTTTTGTAGAGGATTTCCAATATCACAAATTACTAAAGTTTCATTGGTGAAGAAACATTTTACGCTATCAGATATGTTTCTGTCGTTTTTTAAAGCGATGTAGCTTAAAGTTTTCGGATATATAACAAATAGTTTTGCTTCGTAAGCTGATTCGCCGGTATTTGAAACGTTCACTTCCAGGATAAAATCTTCATTAATCTTGTTAATTTTATAAGCACCTGTTTCATCTTGAGACAAGTCTGTTCCTGCACTCAATGTTAAGTTACTTTCACAAGTATCATCTGCACCACACTCTTTCTGGAAAGTTGCCGTAATAAGTTTTACAGATGTTTTGTTTAGAATTGGAGTATGGAAGGAATCGTTTTCTAAAGTATAATTAACTCGAAATTTGATTGGTGATAATATATCGTTAATACCTTCTTTAATGTTTGCAGTTTCATCCTGACAATAGAGTCCAGAAGATCCATTAACAGTAACTATTTTAGTTTTCGATGGGCTTCGCTTATCTGGATGCTCATTGTCTACTAACCAAATTCTGTTAACAATTTTCTTTTCTTCCGCTATGTTATAAATGACGTTAAATTTCTGTTTAATACTACCAACCACTGAGAAGCATGTGCTGAATGAAAAACATGTAGAATTGCTTCTAGGCGAGTGGGAACAACCTTTTTTAGTAGAATTGATATTCTTTAATTCCTCACTCTTTACTACAATTTTTATATCAATAATTGGACGAGTTTTGAAGAATAGTACTCGGTCGGATTCAAAAGCACCTGCTAGCAAATCCGGATAACCATTGTTGTCCATATCGAGACCTCCACTTAAAGAGTAACCCAGCGTTTTTATTTGCTTTTCCTTTATAATTTGAGACGGTTCATCACTGATACCATTACTTGATCCTAAGTAAATATATATAGCACCATGATCATCTTCGTATGGAGCTCCTATAGCAATATCATTATAACCATCCTTATTTATATCACCGAGTGAAGTCATTGAAAATCCGAATCTAGATTGTGTTTTACCATACAAAACTTTATCCCACTGGCAATTATCTTGAGTACACTCTTTGATATTATAATAAATATAGACAGCACCACCCTTACGGTCACTGTAATAAAATGGAGCTCCAACTAATAAATCATCATATCCATCGTTATTAATATCAGTAGCAAGTAATTCATAACCGAAACTAGCTGCAAATTGTTCACCAGTTAAAATCAGTGAAGTATTAAACTCTTCATTAGTATTCTCTTTTTTGAAGAAATAAACTTGTCCTACCATTTTTGATCGCGGTGCCCCAGCAATGTAGGTATATTCTTTTTTACTAAAGAAATGTCCTCCTCCGACGCTCATACCTAGGTAGCTGTACTTTTCAATCAAATCTATATCACCAAAAGGACCGTGGTATATTGTTTTATCCCTATTTAGGTATTCACCGATAACTATTTGTCCGAATATTGTGCCTCTCCAAGTGTACGGTCCTGGGGAGCCCATTAAAGCAAAATCTTCACCAACGAATGAAGCGCTGGTCCCCACTTGGCAGAAACCAAACTGCTGATGCAGCTTTTCCATAGGTCTACCTTTACAAAGTAATAAACTTTCATATGTATTCAAATCTTTATCTAGTAAGTAACATAAACCTTGTCCGTAATGAAACTTTGCTAGATTTTCACTTTTGATATATCTGTGTGCACAAACTAAGACAATACCGCCTGGTTTTTGAGACTTCACTGTGACTCCCAACCACTGTCCATTTTTTATTTCGTCTGTTCCAGGCGGTTTTAATTGCGACTCATCTATTTCCTCATCACCATAATCGAAGTCTTCGATTCGTTTTCCATCAGTTTCTATTTGAATACAGTCATTATCATCTTTAGAGATTGGACATTTAAACAAAGCACCTGAATGATTTGTGAATGGTTGTAGATTTTTTCCTAAGGGAGCACCTACTAGCATCCAGTACGTATTATCACCAACATTGTTATTTAAATCCCCTGTTCCATGTTGGGCTACACTAAAACCAAAATAGGACCCTTGTTGATCTATTGGTGCTTTCTTAACCAAAGGGTCTCTATCTTCTAAATTAAATCCGCGAGCTCCGCTTAATATAATCAACAGGAACAGTGTCTTACAAAAAGTTTGCAGCTGCAACATTGTTTATATCACTTTGTCTTAAGTTATAACACAATTTATAAATAATTATACTACTTCACAATTCACAAAACTCCGTCTCCTTCTTAGTAGCAACATTTTATTTATGATAACAATGATGGTAACTAGAGATTACGCGAATTACACTTTTCTCTAAATTACCAGGGCTACACAATAACAAAATTAAAAATTAAAAATTAACATTGAATATAGGTAAAGAGTAGAGGGGTCTTTGGCCTAACCTAAGTGTAGGTGCTCTCCCATTTCAGTCATTTCACTTCATTACATGATCATTTTGATCATGATTCAGACAGAAACAGAGAATCGAAATACTACTAATCAAGCTATCATAAATGATCATGAATAAACGGAGTGAGTAGGGTTATATTTGGAACATTGATCTGGCAACCTAGGGATACGACATGCGTAGAACAGAAGTAAAAGTTGGAAATGCTTTTGCCAGTTCTCCCACTTTATACATATAAATTGACAGGTTGGCACCGGATCTCACCGAAGTGGACGCGATACATTGGCGTACAAAATTATTTTATAGATGTTAATAACAATTTCGAGTAAATAGTTTAATAAATTGTGAATAGCTGCTGAAATTTTGTAAAATTATAATTTGAATATTATAATACATGTTTAATAATTATTTATAATCCATAAATACATGCGATTGTCCGGTTCCGCCGATAACAATTTAAAATTACTTATTCTATGAAACGACACTGGCAGGTAAACATTACTGTGAAATTCTCGGAGCCGCCCGACGTGGTTTGACGTTTACCCCCTCTCTACCTACCAAAGGGGCGTTTGATTTGAAACTCGATCGAGCGAGCGTCGAGCAGACCGAGAAGTGATGACGTCACAATAGAGCATTGAATCAAATCAAATAAAACAGAGTAAAAAACATAACCTCGCTTTTTTGTGATTCTTGTTTCTAGTTTGTGTGTCAAAATATTGAGCAAAAAGTAAAGAAAATGAAAAAACTTTTAATAAAAAGGGGTAATGGCCCTGAAATGCAGCATATACCACAAATGCCCGCTTCGCTTTCATACTCCATGACTGTGATTACTGGTGATTAGATCTGGACAGAGAAAATGTATTTTCCAAACACATTTTGTGTTTTTTATGACGAATAATTTCAGCTATAAGACAAAAGCGGTTAAGTAATTTGTTGACTTCTTGTCTGGTCTTTAATTTTGAGATTCAAATTTACTTGTAAGTTGATTAAAAAGAGATAGGTAGAGACAAAGACAAATTTCTCCCTCTTCTCGATCTTTCTGCTCTGAGAACATCGAGCTCGCTCTATGTTCTCGCTCCAAAGCAAAACAAACACTTTATGGATCTCTCGGAGTGTCAATTCAAACACGATTTCAGCGCTCGGAGATCTCCGATGATCAAATCAAACGCACCACAAAAGACTTTTCAACTTTTACTATAAGCGAAAAGTGGGACCGGTCCTCCATTACTGTGAGTACAAATTGTCAATTTTATAGGTTATATTTTTAGTGTCATTTGTGTAATTAAATTTGAATTTAATTTGTGTTTGAGCAAATTTTGAGTGTTACAAACTTATAAAGTATATTATAATGCCTTGCTGTGTTATACGTTCCTGCTCTAGCGATAGACGTTTTTGCGAAAAATCGACTGGAATAACGTTTCATAGGTTAGTATCAAAATTATAAATATTATACAGGACAGTATTATGACAGGTTTGTATAAAATGTGTAAAAGTATGTTTTTAAAAATGCTAAAATTCATCTATCAACTTTTGGGCCTACCTATATTGGAATAATACTTTTTCATAATATTTATAGATTTCCAAAAAATCCTGAAAAAAGTAGCGCGTGGATACAGTTTGTCAACAAGCATAATTGGGAACCTTCTAAATTCAGCTGTATATATTCCAAGCATTTTCTTGAGAAGTACATTAATCGTACGCCATTTCGTTTATCAAATTTATAGGCATTTTATGTTCTTATTTCTATTTAAATATAACCTACATTTGCTGTGCTTCCACCAATTTTATTTATTGGTTCTACAGCTGATTAAATTGGACCGGCCCGCTTGTTGTGCATGTTGTGTTACTATGGTAGGTCTTCACATAAGTATAGTCATATTCTCTGAAGATGGTGAGAAGCCCAGCTCAAACCAACCATCATAATATCGTCATTGGATCTATAGGTCTCAAGTAAGATCACTTCATATTTTACATTTGTTAGAAGTGCACCTGCAAACCGCTGGTTGTGGCTTCGCTGATTTACTGAATGTCTTGCATAAAGATTCAGTCTGAATCTACAAGAGTACTAAGACCAAGTAAGATTAATCCACATTTTGATTTCCTGAATAGTGCATCTACATATACAGAGATTGCTTATTAGCCATTTTCCGTGAGCCTTGCATTAAGTTTCGTATCTGATCATCGAGCTTTTAGTGTATGAACATTTGTTCTTAATTTCAAGAAAGCTGTTAAGTAAGGTTAGATTACTTGACATTTGCGACCTTGTACTTTCCGATTTAAAGACAGAAAGCATTAGGCTATTTATGTGCCCTAGTGCAAACGTGTGACGACTGATCCAATAAATCGAACTCGCTTTACTTTTGTCGCTTATGTGAACCAAAAATCTACTATTTATTTTTTCTGTGAATGATTTCGACGTTTTGGGGTTAATTTCACCATTGTGTTAAAGTTTAAACTACTAATCGAAGATTAAAATTACATTTTATGTAAAAATGTCATTTTAAACTTCGTTTAACCCAATGGTGGAATCGGCCCCAAGTTAGTTATCATTGATTAGTTGCAATTTTGCAAATGATTTATTCGCCAGCGCTTAATAGCCACTTGAGTGATAATTAAATCAGTTATATTTACTTTATTCAGCACATCTCGGTTGAAAATCGGGCATATTTAATAAGCTTTTAAACCCCCTTCTTTTATAACCTCGGCCTTCCACCATCTTTTAAGTCAATGTATAGATTTTTATCTATAAAAAAGGAAATTCATTTTTTATAGTTCAAATAGATTTTTAACCAGAAATAGTACAATAAAAACTTGTAAATCCGGTTCTGCTTTTCCGTTATTCTAGTGAGTGCAAAAGCCACGCCTACTGGTCCCAATTTTGTATATCAACAAGTATTAGAAATTAAAAATTAAAAAAAACCGACTTTAAAAACGTGCAGATGCCATCACCACATCTTAACTAAATTTATATGGGACCACCCCTGAGGTACCCCCTTACTAACAAAAAAGAATCATATAAATCGGACAAGGTGGTAAATCATTATCGCTAGACAAACATAAAAAATGAAGAGTTTGAGGATTTCTTCATGGACCCAATTATTAGCTTGACCAAATTTATATGAGACCACCCCTGAAGTATCCCCTTTCTAACAAAAAAAGAATCATTGAAATCAGACACCGTGTTAAAGAATTATCGCTGAACATACATAAAAAAAATATATCGCGACGAATTGATAACCTCCTCCTTTTTTGAAGTCGGTTAAAAAATAATTACATATGACGTATCCTCACGTTGCCGTATCAATGATTTGGAATTTTAAGGATGTGTCAAAATTGCTGCCTGTTGGTTTTAAATAGATTGCTCAAAGCGACTAGCGAGTAGCATTACGAGCGGTCATTATAGTTGCGTTTAATGTGCATAGCGATCCCAACTAATACTAATCACTTTCGTTTTATGATAAGTATCGCTTTTTGCGATAGTTTCTGCCGCATCGCGAAATTTGAGCGGGAAAGCTCATAAAAACGACCTGAAACGCCAAAAACCTATTGCTATTTGCGATTGCTTGAAAATATCTTTAAAAACACCTGGTTGTGCTCCAATGCTGTGGTCAGTTCTAGTGGACGACCTACTCAAAAGATTGTCCAAAGGAGGCTATAAGAGACTAGGATACGCAGCGACCTAGCGATTATCGTCAGGGGGCGATGATTTGCAGGCACAGTCTCGGAGCGATCTCAAACAACTCTAAAATAGTGAATAACTGGTGCAAAAAGGAGCAGTTGTCCATTAATGCACAAAAAACAACAGTTGTACCATTCACAAAAAAACGGTTACCGACAAATACTAAGACCACTAGTACTAAATAACATGGTTACTCCATTTGTTACAGAAGAGTCATATTCGACCAAAGGTTGACGTGGAATCAACATCTCAAAAAACTAGCATACAAAGCTATAATAGCTCTTGTAAGCTGTGTGTAAAAAACTGGGGTCTAAGCTCCAAAATACACAATACACAAGGGTGATAAGACCCATGATAAACTTTGACGCAGTGGCGTGAGTAACCAAAACTGCGCAGCAAAGTGCAATAAGCCAACTTACCGGCATTCAGCGGCTCGCCTGTCTGAGTGTCACTGGGGACATGCGTACTACGCTAACTGCAGCAATGGAGATACTATTAAACCTCACGCCACAGTACATCTTCATACAAGGAGAAACCAAGTAAGTTATTCACAGGCAAATGCAGTAATAAAACCCAATAAGCCAACTACATAGCACTGACCATACAAGGCTATATCAGCGAGTAAAAAACGATAAGATTCTAGAAATGACTATTGATATAGCCATATAACCACATAAACATTTGAAAGAAACTTTCAAATTCAAATACCAGCCCGAGAATCATGGAAACAGTTACCTCTCGAACAGGCTGAACTCGTATGGTATACAGACGGTTCAAAACCAAAGGAAGGAGCCGGTGCGGGAATCAATGGATGACATTATGAACCCAAGTCGGAATCAACGATTTCGAGGAGTGTTCCAAGCTGAACTAATAACCATACAACAGTGTACAAGAGAAATATTAAATCAGCAAGTATCAGGCAAAACTACTGCCATCTACTCTGATAGTCAAGCAGCTCTAAAGGCAATAATTCTTTCACCAAAAATCAAATTAAGAGTGCCTAAAAGACCTGGCAGAGCCAAGTAGTCAAAACAGAAGGTGACCCTAGCCTGGGTGCCAGGTCACGAGGGATATTAGGGGCATTAGGGCAACGAAAAGACCGCGAATAAGCCCGAGAAGACTCTGATAAGGCCATGGCAAGCCCTGAATCCTTCTGTGGAGCAAAAATAGTCTTAGGAATAGTGGAACAACTATTCAAGACTGAGACAGGCCAAACAGTTCATGAAAGAACAATCCTAAATGTTCACGAAATGTCTACTGGATCAAAAACGTCAAATCGTTAAGATAAACCGGACACTGTCGCTTAAAAAGACACATGAATGTCATCAATCCAGCAGAAGCAGCAACTTTGTGCAAGTTCTGTGAAG